TAAAATGTCTACATTATGGTGAAATCAATATCCTTCATCAGAATATATTTCAGAGTAAATTTTTAATCTAGTAAAATACTGTTTTCATGAATTACCCTGCTATATTTTTGGCTTACTTTTCAGTTACCTTCCCCACAATACTAGTTAAAAAGATAATCTGTTTTTTAATACAAAAACATTTAGGTTCTTAATTTTCTAGAAACTTCAAACATGTAAGGATATTTAAAGTAAATCCAACCTGCATTTGGGTAGCTGATACCATTAAAATCAGTCAGGAAGAAGAGGCTAAACTAGCATCATAGTATAGTAGTTCTAAAAAAAAAAAAAAAAGGAAAAACACAAAAAACTAGTCTCTGTGGAGATAACAAGCATTTACCTTATAACTAAGATAATAAATCACCCCCTCCTTATATTCAAAGCAGCCCTACTTAATATAGTATCATTCCCTAAAGCAGCACTTTTCTGTAGTGAACTTAATTATTCTGACAGCATCTTTAAACTACATTTACCCATCCTTTTGTACTCTTTTCTTTGAAAGTGCTATAGATTATCTTATGACACCACATACTTTCAACATGTAAGCAACAAATTCAAAATGCATTAGGGATAAGTAAAGTAATATATTAATTTTTCTACTAAGAAATAATTTTACAAAAAATTTGTTGGGTTTTGCTTTGTACTTCGATAATTCACAGAATGTTAAACTGCTCATGGTTTATCTATTATTCTTATAAAACTCATCAATAAGTATTCTTCCCATTTTCATCTTACACTACATTCTTAAGTATGCCTGACAAGTAACACAGTTAGTAAGACAAAAATCAAGCCAAAAATACCCTGCTGATAAATTTATTTAGATACAGTATTTTGGTTGTAGAATAAGCCAAAAGAAACTCAATATAAAAATATGTTTAGATTATCTAAAACTGAATTGGCATTCTGTAATCAGATTATCCCAAATCAAACAAAAATCTACCAGCAGATGAATATATCAGCTAACAACCTATATTAATATTTATCACTAATAGTTGATCAGAATAAACCCATCGTGCTTTCCTGGCCACCCTCGGAAAGCATAACCACCATTACGTCTGATGGCTGAATGGGACGAACATTCAATAAAGGAAACTATGAAGTACATGAAATATATTCGGCAAACTGTGAATTATAAACTATATTCAGTAAGGATGACATATACTAATCAGGTGGCCTAGAGATTCCATTTTAATGGCCAACACTGAAGGTGGGCCCATGTAGGTATAAGATTAGAGAGTATCTATATATATAAAGTCAAGATCCTTGAAGATGTACATCCTCAATGAAAAAGTGAGTTTTTAAAAATATGCTCCGTGGAGGCAGAAAGATAGCATCTATTTCAGCCTTGGTTCCACATAAACAAAACAACTGTTCCCCCTGGGAACTTTGGGCCATTTACTAGATATCACGCTACTTTGGGGCATGAATTTTCCCTATATAAAATGTCCAAAAAAAAATTATATGCCAAATTTCAATTTAAGTTGGATCAGGGTTGCTAGGGCCCTAGAAGCATGCTCTCTCTCTCTTAAGAGCAGGTGTAGGCAAAGTAAGGCCCAAAGGCTAAATCTAGCCCACCACCTGTTTTTGTAAATAAAATTTTTATTGAACATAACCATGCCCATTTGTTTATGTATTGCCTATGGCAACTTTCATGCTACAAGGCAGAGTTAATTAGTTGTGACAGAGATTGTATGACCAATAAAGCCTAAGAAATTTACTATCTGGTCCTTTATAGATGCCTTTTGCTGACCCCTGTAAATAAATGTAATACTTACTGTTTAATTTATTTATAATATAAAATGATATAATTATCATTATATCATCATGTTTGAAACAAAACAAAAATAACTAAAACACTGGAAAACAGTATCCTATAAATTGGAGGCTAATCAAAGAATAAGAGTATTGCTTAACTTTAGACTAAGTTAAGTACTCATTTTAAAATTTCAAAAGTCAAAACCTGTGTTTCAAGGACAAATATGGTGACAGTTTAGTTCTGAATCTCCCCCATCCTCCCTGGAAAAAGAAATAGATAACAAAAGGAAAACATGGGGAAAGTGGATGAAGTGAAAGGAAAAGAAAATTACATTTCCGGAGAAATTATAAGGGTAAAAAAAAAAAAAAAAATCCTCATAAAGTCCAGATTAGGTATGAATGTACAAACATCAAGTGCAACCAAAAGAGCTAAACAGAAGCAGCCACAAAATTGCTGAAAGGGTGATGAGAAACAAGTAGCATAGAGGAAACTAATGGAAGCAGATCTCAAAACTTACCATACCCATCCCACAAAAAAATAAAACAAAGTAAGGGGAAGGAGAGCCCTAAACGTGTGAAGAGGTATAATTAAAAACAAATCAACAAAAAAGGCAAGAATTACTTTTGAAAATACAAGACATGCACAGGAAATTTACCAAAAAAAAGGAATCACAAAGCAAAATTCAACTCTCTCGTATGCAAGAAATACATTTTTTTAAAAGTGATTCTAAAACACTAAACAATCATAACCATAAAGGGATGAGCAAAAGTATACTAGGAAAAGACTGAACAAAAAAACAAAACAACGGCAATATTAATAATGGATGAGGTAGAATTCAGGTCAAGAAAACATTAAACAACAAATCACTTTATAATATTAAGTAATACAATTTACAATAAACACATAACAGTTATTAATATCTGTAACAGCAACTTCTATAAAACATAAATTCCAGAATATATAAGGAGAAATAGGAAAAACAGACTAACACTTTAAAATTTTACTTCAACTTTCACAGCAAGATAGATCAAGAACAAAAAATACTAAGTCAGTAATAGAAGGCCTAACAATATAATCACTAAAGTCAATATTATAAATAAATAATATCAAACTCCATACCTTGATATTATTGGATTTATCTTCTTCTCAAGTGCCTATCAAATATTTATGAAAACTGAGCCACAAAGAAAATTTGAATAAATTTAAAAAGTAGAAATAATACCAACAACATTTCCTGAGCACTATAAAACCAAAAATTAATAGCAAAATCAGAAAATTGTCTTTCTACATAGAACATCTGTTAACTGATTCAAAAGTTGGAATAACTCAGCCACACGTCTGCCTCAACATTATCATAAGTTTGTTATGACAATAATGTATGTAAGCAAGCGTATTCAACGTAGCATTGCTTATTAACCATCACCCTCCAATGTGTTCCCATCAATAGCCATTCTCCTCTGATTACTTCTATTTTCTCAGTAAAATAAGAACTAAGGTCATCAATTGAGAGTGATGATAGAGAAGGAAGTGTCTGAAACTTGAGGAGAGAGGAAAAGGTATGAAATAGTCATCCAGGAGAGCTGGGAGAGAGACCAAGCTAGACTGGCAAAAGTTTCAGATGTCATTAAGGGCCAACTTGACATGAGTAATTATAAACTTACAGCTAAGTAAGTACCAGACATCATTTAAATAAAAACAACTTGAGAATGGTAATTACGAAATTTAAAGCTGGGTAGGTTTAGAAGTATGGGTAGGTTTAGAAGTACAGATAAAAAAGGTAGGGTTAGAAATATGGACAAAAAAGAGTGAGAGAGTGGAAAAACTGATAGTCTCAACAGACTAAAGGCTCTGGTAAGGTCAAAGAATTATCAGAGTGTGGGCACTAGAAATAGTAAGCAGGAGAGATCAGTGGTACTTGAAAAGTAAGATATTTCAAATGGAAATTATGGACTCATTGTACTGGAATAACAAGGTCTGGAACGTAACAATGGAGAGAGTGGCTCAAGGAGGATGGAAAACAAAATCTTTTGTTAGATCAAGAAATTGAAAGGCCAGGTAGGAGAAGTACTTAAGTGCATATTTACAACATAAAAATATCTGCCTTATGTATTCTGGACACAGTGACAGTAAGCCAGAAACTAAAATCCTCAAGAAATAAAACACAGCCATCTGAGAGCAAAAGATGAGTGCAGGAAGGTGAAGTAATAGGTGTTATATTCTGATGATGTAAGAGTCAAAGCCAGGCAATTTAAAGGAGGAGGAATTGAGAATAGAGTGAAAATGGCAACAAGGAGTAAAGGGGATATGTAACCCACCTTCAACCCAGCTGTACTGAGAATATGTAAACAAAAACAGCCATCACTTGAAAGGACTGCAAGGGAAACAGTGGAATATTTTGAAGGGGAGTCTCGGTCAGGAAACGAGTTTTCTCATTAAGTCTGAACAAGGACTCTAAATAGTTGTATATATAGTTGTCCATACACAAAAGAGCCAAGAATTTGAGTTCATAATACTGGCCAGAGCCAGAAAAGAATTGTTTTCTTGAATCTGAATAACCACCATGGGGTATATATTTGTAAACAAACTAAAAACAATAAAAAAGGTTACCACTGTTTTAAAAAATGTTATAAATAATTCAAAAAAATTAAGTACCAGAAAAACAAAAAGGAGTAAAGGTATAGTAGAGAAACTCACATGGAGATTGCCCTAGTCACCTTCACCTTCACGTAACAGATAATAATCTCTTGTAGAAGCCAGCAGACTATCCTTGAGAAGCTGACTTTAAAGAAGTAATACATACATAAAGATATAACAGTAAGATTAGAAATAGAATGCTAAAAATGAAAAATCTTGAAATCATGCAATGCATAGTAAAGAGATTGGGATAGTTTCATTGCTTGGTTAATAAATAAAATCCAAAGAAATAGCACCACCTACTGGAATTTCACATATTTTTTTAAAAATTCACAAATCTTAGAAAATGAGACTATTATGTAATATTTCCCCTCATTTGGTTAGAAAGGTAACCTTAAATATTAAAGAACAAAATATAATATAATCAAAAAAGTTTATATTAAAAATTACCAATTCTCAGCTTATAATTTCAATCTCAAATAACTCATCATTTTGACTAAATTAATATGAAGATTTTATTAAAGAGAAAAACATTCCCAATCAATAAAGAAATTACAATTTTTAAGTAACTCACAGATATGGTATTCCTGTATGCTGCTTGTATAACCATATATTGCAGAATATCCGAATATTATGATCATGACAACATCTCTACTATCCAACTCCATAATATGTGCTGAATGTCCCTCCACAGCATACTGCTGACCATGTCCAAGAACAGTAGGAGTTTTTGTACTCCATGACTGACTATGTATGTTAAAAACCCATAATTCATCTGTGACATTGCCATCATTTGTTTCAATTCTGCCTCCATACATAAAGATGTTTTCCTGTAAATTAAAATACATATATTAATAGACAAAATAATGTTATATCGTAACACATATTAATTAAAAATAAAGGTTAAATTTACATAAAATTTTAGTAATTGCTCACAACATGCATAAGGCATTGTTCTTATTTGTAAAAAGTAATAAGAACACATGAATAATGACAACTAATGCTTTTATATACAAAAAGGGGGGAAGAGCAAAGCTTTCAAAAAGCTACTTTAAAATATATTTTTTAACTATTACTTTATATACTCAATTAAGTATACTTTTAATTATCATACAGGAAGAGAACACTAAACTATGGCTTTAAGAATGGAAAACACAATAAGCTAATCAAGAACTTAAAATTTATGGGTGAGGTAGTCCTATAACAAAGAATAATGTACTCCTCCCATATAACTGAAAAGTAACAAACTAAGTTGCTGATTAATGTTACTCATAGTCTTTTCAATATTCGAATCATCTGAGTCCCCAGTGGTTACGTTTGAATTTTACCATCTCCTGGTACTGCTTTGTGCTATTCTCAGTTATGCACTGTTTTCGTCAAGTGCTCTTCACCAAAAAGGCATATCACATTTGTGCATCACATAGAGTACACCTCTGTTACCATTTCTAATGGCTATGGACAGACACCACATGCCTTCAGTTCACCTTTGGTAAATCCTTGCAGAACTTTTAAATTATACAAATTATTTCAAATGTATATGATGGAAATAAATGATGTAAATTATCATTATTTCAACAAATTAGAAATAGAAAAAAAATTTTCCAACCTGACAAAAGATATTTAAGGAAACCCACAGCTAACATTATATCTAACAGTGAAAGACTAGATACATTTCCCTAAGGTCAGGAACAAGATAAGCATGCCTGCTTTTGCCATTTATATTCAACTTTATACTGGATGTTCCAGCTAGAGCAAAAACTAAATAAAGACATCCAGCTTGGAAAGAAGAAGTAAAATATTTCTATTTGCAGATGATCTGATCTTGTATATAGAAAAGTCCTTAAAAATTAAAAAAAACCACTTAGAGCTAATAAATGAATCAGCAATATTACAGAACATAAGATCAACGTACAAAAAGCAAATTGCATTTCTATACACTTGCAATGAACAACCCAAAATGAAACTGGGAAAATAATTACATTGACAAAAGCATCCAAAAGAATAAAATATTTATGAATAAATTTAATAAAGGAAGTCCAAAACTTATACTCTGAAAATTACAAAACACTGTTTAAATAAATTTTTTAAAGATATAAATAAATGAAAAGACATCCCATGTTTATGGGTCTGAAGACTTAATATTGTTAAGATAATACTCTCTAAATTGATTAAGAGGATAATACTCTCCAAATTGATCTCAGATTCAACATAACCCTATCAAAATCTCAGCTGGCTTCTTTGTAGAAACTGACAAATTGATTCCAAAATTCATATGAAATTGCAAGGGATGCAGAACATCAGAACATTCTTGTAAAAGAACAAAACTGGAGTACTCACACTTCTCAAAAACTTACTGCAAAGCAAAAGTAATCAAGATAGGCTGGGCATGGTGGCTCACGACTATAATCCCAGCACTTTGAAAGTCTGAGGCAAGTGGATCACTTGAGGTCAGGAGTTCAAAACCAGCCTGGCCAACATGGTGAAACCCCATCTCTACTAAAACTACAAAAAAATTAGCTGGGCGTGGTAGCAGGCACCTATAATCCCAGCTACTCAGGAGGCTGAGGCAGGACAATCGCTGGAACCCAGGAGGCGGAGGTTGCAGTGAGCCAAGATTACACCACTGCACTCCAGCCTAGGTGACAGAGCAAGACTCTGTCTCCAAAAAAAAAAAAAAAAAAAGTAATCAAGACAGAGTGATACTGGGATAAATCAATGGAATAGAACTGAGAGTCCAGAAATAAACCCATACATCTAAGGCCAATTGATTTTTGACAAGAGTACCAAGACCATTCAAAGATTAAAAAAACAGGTCTTATGAACAAATGGTGCTAGAACTGGATAGTCACATGCAAAAAAAAAAAAAAAAGAACTTGCACCCTTACTGCATACTATATACAAAACTTAACTCAAAATAGGTCAAACAACTAAATGCAAGAATCAAAGCTATAAAACTCTTAAAAGAAAAAAAATTGGGTTAAGTCTTTATGACCTGAGATTTGGCAGTGAATTATTAAATATGACACCAAAACACAAGCAATAAAAGGAAAAAAGCTAAATTGGACTTTATCAAAATAAAGTCTAATTTTTTGTGTTTAAAAAGATAACATCAAGAAAGTGAAAACAGCGCACGAAATGGGTGAAAATATTTGCAAATTATATACCTGATAATGGCTTGCATCTAGAACATGTAAAGAATTCTTACAACTCAATAATAAAAAGACAACCTAATTTTAAAATGAGCAAAGGACTTGAATAGACATTTCTCCAAAGACAATATACAAATGGCCAAAAAGCACACAAAAAGATGCCCAACATCATTAGTTAACAGGGAAATACAAATCAAAACCACAATGAGATAACACCTCACCCCACTAGGATGGCAATAATCAAAAAAGAAGATACTATTAAGTGTTGGCAAGGATGTATAGAAATAGAAACCTTCATATATGGCTAGTGGGAATGTAAAATGATGCAGCAGCTTTGGGAAACATTCTGTCAGTTCTTCAAAAAGCTAATTTGACCCAGTAAGTCCACCCCTATGTATATACTCAAAGAAATGAAAACATATGTCCAGACAAAATCTTACACAGAAATGTTGTTAGTAGCATTATTCATAATAGCCAAAAGGTGGAAACAAGTCAAATGTCCTCAATCGATAAACATGTTATATATCCATACAATGTAATATTATTTAGCCATAAAAAGAAATGAAGAAGTATTGATACATTCTACAACATGGATAAACCTTGAAATTACGCTAAGTGAAATACGGTAATCATAAAATACATAGTATATGACTTCATTTATATGAAATGTCCAGCATCGACCAATATATAGAGAAAGAAAGTAGCTCTGTGACTGCTTAAGGCTAGGGAAGATAAGGAAGTCTGGGGTGATACCTAAAGGGTACAAAGTTTCTTCATGAAGTGGTGAAAATATTCTAAAAATGATTACACAACTCTGCAATCTTACACAAATATGCAACACATGGTTGCACAACTCTGAATATACTAAAAACCACTGAATTGTACACTTTAAATGAGTGAACTGTGTGGTATATCAATTATATCTCAGTAAAGGGAAATAAAGAAAAAATAAAACAAGACAAAAAATGTATCTATATGTTTTCATATGTAGAAATATTTTTATTTTACTTTTAAAACACACAAATGTATGGATAAACAGGTGGTAGTTTGTTCTTTATACTGCTCCCATGCTTTCCAATTTTTTTAAAACAGCACAGAAAACATATAAATTCATATTTAGACGGCCTAGCCAAAGGCCACAAAATACATGAATTTTTATTGATTCAAAATGAACACCAACTAAGGGTCCTGTCATTTTAATCATGCTAAATTTATGAATCCCACAAATACATAAAAATAACTAATGTCAATACAATCCCTGTCAAAATCCCAACATTTTTGCAGAAATAGAAAACTCAACCCTAAAATTCATATAGACTTTCAAGGGGCCCTGAATAGCCAAAACAATCTTGAAAAATAAAAACAAAGTAAGAAGTATTACACTTCTTAACTTCAAAACTTATTAAAAAGCTACAGTAATCAAAATAGTATGGTACTAGCATAAAGACAGACATATAGATCAGTAGAATAAAATAGAGAGTCCAGAAAAAAAAAAAAAACCTCATATATATGGTCAAATGACTTTCAGCTAGGGTGCCAAGACCATTTAATCGAAAAAGGCAGTTTTTTTTAAACAAATGATGTTGGGGAAACTGGCTATCCACATGCAAAGGAATGAAAATGGACCCTTACATCAGACACAATTAACTCCAAATACAACAAAAACCTAAACCTAAGAACTAAAACTTTAAAACTCTTAAGCGAAAATATAGAGGAAAAGCTTCATGACATTGGATCTAGCAATGATTTCTTGTACATGACACAAAAGCATAGGTAACAAAAGAAAAAATAGATAAATTAAACTATAACAAAATTAAAAATTTTGTGCATCAGAGGACACTCTCAACAAAGTGAAAAGACAGCCCATAAAGGGGGAAAATATTTTGAAATCATATTCTGATAAAGTGTTAATACCATAATATATAAAGAGCTCCTCCAACTCAACAGCCAAACAAAACAACCCAATTCAAAGCTAGCGAAAGACCTGAATAGACATTTCTCCAAAGAGGATATACAAATAGCCAATAAGCACTTGAAAACATGTTTAACATCATTAATCAACAGAGAAATGCAAGTCAAAATCACAGTGAGATACTCGTTAGGTTGATTATCAAAAAAACAAAAACAGAAAATAACAAGTGTTGACAAGGCTGTGGACAAACTGCAACCCTTGTGCACTACTGATGGAAATGTAAGATGATGCAGTCATAGTGAAACACACTATGGCAGTGCTAAAAAAAAAAAATTAAATATAGAATTACCATATGATTTAGAAATTCCACTTCTGGGTATACACCAAAAAAAAAAAAAAAAATGAAAAGAAAGACTCAGATAGTTGTACACACAAGTTCATAGAAACATTATTCACAATGGCCAAAAGATGGAAGCTATCTAAGTGTCCATCAACAGATGGATGGATAAACAGAATGTGGTATATACACATAATGGAATATTAATCAGCTTTAAAAGGAAAGACATTCTGACACATGATACAACATGGATGATCCTTGAAGATAGTGTGCTAAGGGAAACAAATCAGTCATAAAAGAACAAATAATGTACGATCCCATTTACATGAGGTACCTAGAGCAGTTAAATTCACAGAGACCGAAAAGTAGATTGGTCGTTTCAAGAGGATAAGGGAAGAGCGGAATGAGAAGTTATTGCTTCAGTTTTGCAAGATGAAAAGTGTTCTGAAGATAATGGTGGCCATGGTTACACAACAATGTCAATGTACTTAATGCCACTGAACTCTATACTTAAAAATAGTTAAAATGGTAAATTTTATGTTACATGTATTTTGCCATAATTCTTTAAGTGATTGACTAGGCATAAAGTAATAGACAAAAACTCAGTCTTCATTTCTTTACATGTCATATGGGGGATTGTTCTAAAATCTACTCTTTTACTAAAAGCATAAGAGTATGTGGTATCTCAAGTTATTATGACCCATATAATCTATTGTTCTCATTTAATGTTTGAAATAAATCTGAGATTTAGTAATTTTTACCCTGTAGTAAACTATCAAAAACAAAATCTGATTAAAATTTAAAAAGCAGGTGCCATACCTGATATAAAGCAAGAGAGTGTCCATATCTCTGGAGAGGTCCCCTTGATAGAGTTCCTACATTCCATATACTGCTTTCTAAATCGTAACTAAAAGCAAGAAAAGAAAATAACTTCATAAGCTAAGATTCATTTTTGTTTTTTTAATTTTCACATGCTTTTTATTCACTTGTGTCCAAGTACTCATTAAATTCAAAGCATTACAACTAATAGATTCATAATTTATGTGCCATATTAGAAATTTTTAATAAAGACTCATTCAAGATATACCTACACTAAATTAGGATTCAATCTCCTAAATGTATAATATACATTAACTTGACTAGGATATTTATTACTGGAATTAATTGTCCAACTGCCTTTAATAATTTCAATCAATTGATTAAGCTAAACAATAGTGAACTGACTGTATTTTTTAATTTTTTCTTAAAGCCAGGTTTCCTTCTTGGAAACAGCTGAAAATTCTCTCCATTTGTTTTAGATATTTATTTTTATTCCTTTTTTTTTTTTAGTCGGCCTGATACTTATATAAATTTTTTAATGACAAATTTAAGTTGTACGTATATGTTATACATATGATATTTTGATATATGTATAGAATGTATAATGATCAAATCAGGGTAATTAGAATATCTATTACCTCAAACATTTATCTCTTCTTTGTGTTGGGAGCATAACATTTCTTCTCTTCTAGCTATTTTGAAATATATAATAAATTGTTAACTATAATTTCCCTACGTTACTATCATATACTAGAACTTATTCCTTCTATCTAATTGCTTTTTGGTACTCATTAACCAACTTCTCTGTCTCCTTCTCCCCGCTTCCCTTCTCATGCTGTGGTAACCACCATTCTACTCTCCACCTATATGAAATCAACTTTTCTAGCTCTGACATTTGAGTGAAGACACACAATATTTGTCTCTCTGTGCCTGGTTTATTTCACTTAAAATGACTTCCAGTTCCATCCATATTGCTGCAAATATGAGATTTCATTTGGAGGGGGCTAAATAATATTCCACTGTGTATATATACCACATTTTCTTTATCAATTTATCAGTTGATGGACACATTTTGATTCCATATTATGGCTATTGTAAATAGTGCTGCAATAAACATGAGAGTGCAGATATCGCTTTGATATACTGATTTACTTTCTTTTGGCTACATATCTAGCAGTGGGTTTGCTGGATCATATAGTAATTCTATTTTCAGTTTGAGGAACCTCTGCACTGTTTACCATAATGACTGTGCTACTTTACATACCCACACACTTATCTTAGCATTATATAAATTAATCAACAAGCATCTATTTCCTATGCACAAATATAGCTTGTTTACTGATTTTTTTAAGATTGTATAAGATGAATTTGGTAGTATAGAAGCTTCCATAAAAATAAGTTACTGTTGGATTATGTAACATAAAAAGAAAATTTGTGTTTTTTTCCACTGGTGTAATACATATGAAAACAGAAGTCCCAAACTATGAATCTCAAATGCTTATACTCTATGCTCAAATCTCCTCCATTTGCTAAAATATACAAAAGGAAGCATCCAGCCAAGAAATAGGGGCCTGTTTTAAGTTAAGAAGCTTGCTATCAATTGTTATCTCCCCACTTCTCTTTCTTCCTTCAATGAATTAGGAAAGGCAAGGAAGTGCCCAAGTGCCCCTTGACAAGAAAGGTAAGGGTTACCAAATTTGTCTGCAGCACTGTTTATTTCCTACCTTGGAGTTGTAAAATAAATGTGTATGATACAAATGAGGAAATATAATCAGAACATAACTTCCACAGATTCATACCACTAGTCCACTCATCTACCAGTATCTGCAGCCAACATACTGCTTTCCAAGTTATCATAAATTAGGGCTGTACAAACTACTTCTGTAAAGGGCCAGACAGCAAATATTTTAGGCTTTGTGGGCTACAATGGTCTCACATAGTCTTCATTTTTTTCACAGCCCATTAAAAGTACAAAATCCAGGCCAGGCATGGTAGCTCACACCTGAAATCGCAGCATTTTGGGAAGCCAAGGTGGGAGGATCACTTGAGCACTGGAGTTAGAGACTAGCCAGGGCAATATAGGGAGACCCTGCCTCTACAAAAAAAAAAATTAAAAATCAGCCAGGCATGATGGCGCGTGCCTGTAATCCCAGCTACTTACGAGGCTGAGGTGGGAGGATCACCTGAGCCCAGGAGGTCAAGGCTACAGTGAGCCATGATCACACCACTGCACTCCAGCCTGGATGACAGAGCAAGACCCTGTCTCAAATAAAAGAAAAAAAGCAAAAACTAAAAATGCTAAGAAAAAATTCTTAGCTTCCAGGCCCTGAGCCCCTACTCTGCAGTTTGATGAGCCCAAGAATAGCAAGTGATTCTTCTTCCTTGAGCACAAGATCTCTTTCCTACATCACCATGTTTTGTCTTACTAGATCTTTGCCATCAGCACACAAACATGGTGTTATAAACCATTAATAATAAAAGAAAAAACTCTTGACCACACTCTCCCTTAAGCTACTCCCCCATTTCTTTATTACCTCCAACCCCACCCCACTTTCCATTCTGTCTTAAACTAACTCCAGACATGCTTTTAACCCCACCACTCCAGTAAAACTGCTTTTGTTAAGGTCAATTTCCTCAAGCTAAATCTATGACCAGTTTTCAGTCTTCATTTTCCTTGACTTGGATAATCGTCAGCATATGATATTATTAATTATTCCTTAATCCTCACATACTGTCTTTCCTTGCCTTTTTAGATACTGTACTCCAGGTTTTCCTATCTCACCAGTCATTCTTTTTCAGTCTCCTTTGATGGCTTCCCCTGCTCTCCACAACCTCTTAGTGATGTGGTGCCTCAGGCTCAGTTCCTGGTCCTTTTCTCTACCTAGAATGCATTCCCTTGATAATTTCATCTTAACTCAAATTCTGTTTCTACTCTTCCTCCTAATCCCCAGTATATCATCAATAAACAGCCATGGTAACACTTTTAAAGTAGGGATCAACACATGCTCAAAACCCTCCCACAACTCCCAAAAGATCTACAACATCCTACATGATCTGTATCTCTCCTCTGTTATCACTCTAATTTAATGTATCCCTCTCATATATTCCATGCAAATTGCATGGGCCTGATTGTTGTTCCTCAAACAACTCAAGGAGTTCCTATCTTAAGTCTTTGATCTGGCTCTTTTCTGTGCCTACAAATAACTGCAATCCCCTGATCTCCTTCAAGTTTTTGCTCAGTTCTCACCTTTGTTATGAAGCCTACCTTAACTATTACATTGATAATTGCAACTCCCTCTTCTTTGGCCCCCCTGCTTTACCTACCCCTACTATCTATCTATATCTATCCATTCATCCATCCCATCTATGTCTCTATATGTATATATGTTCATATCTATAAATTATTTTGGTAATTATGTTTTTTTTTTTTTTTGGTCATTGCCAGCCTTTCCCCACTAACTTTACAAAAACAGGGGCATTTATTATATCCAATGATATATCCCAAGTATCAAGCAGGTAGTGTTTTCAAAAGTTTGCTATCCTCATGAATACATGTTAATTTTCATTAATGTTAATGTATACATATTCTGTAAAAGTCTTTCTAATTTAATAGACACTAGCACAGACCTTTTATATTTAGTGAACAATTTGTCTTAAAATGTAACATTTCCACCCCAATTAAATTCCACTATAGAAGATGATTAAATCAAGTTATGACTGATCCTATCACTTCTGAAAGCTGTTATCCTTACCTACAATTGAACTACATTCAGAATGATGAAAAGCATTCTCTAACCTGTGAAAACAGCAACACAATTATTCTACTCTGATACCTCATTTGTTTATATAAACAAATCTATATAAACACTGTAACCAAAATACCCAGCTTTCAGACCAAAAAAAAGGTTGGCTTAAATAGTTTATCTGGTTCCAATGGAAAATATACAAATTTAAAAGAATATCAAATAACATTCATCATTTAATTTTCAATATGCTACTCATCTTGCAAAGAACATAAACTTAAAATTTACAAACTTCCTTGTTGACAATTTTGCTCTTTGTCTTCACAAACTCAGCTTTGGAAAATCACAATTTAATTCAAAGTTCAACTCTACTTTCACAGACTTTTCATTTTCTTTAAACATAGTTAATTTCCTTTTAATTTTCACATTTAAATATCATTATTTCTTCAGGCTTTTATCTTAACAATTCATTTTAATCCCACTAACTCTCTTTCAATTCTTCCTTCTGTATTTTATTCTTCATATGTTAAAAAATTCTAATTTGTCACTTAAATACTTACATAAAACTCCTTCCTTCTCTCCAGAATTTATTCGATTTTCTAATTTAATTCCAGTCACATTCAATCATAGTTTTAAAGCAATCTCCTCTTAGAGAATTTCTGAAATTTTCCTAATTACAAGGGTTAATATATTCAGTGGTTAGGGTTGGCAGATAAAATACAAGATACCTAGTTAAATTTGAATTCAGATAAACAGCAAACAATTTTTTTGTTGAAGCATGACCCATGCAAAATTTGTAAAAAACAAAAATATACATACAGCAAAAGGGCCTTCTTATACTAAAAATGTACTTGTTTTTTTATCTGAAATTCAAGTTTAACTGGGTATCCTGTATATTTATCTGCTAAATCTGGCAATCCTATTGGGTATACACCATTACGGTATACTGTCCAGGGCAAGTTTTGATTGTTTGTTGCCCAAGCTATTCAGTTGTTACATAATACGAACACCACCCCTGGAAAGAACATTAAACATCAAATGATTCTCCCTATTACCTTTTTTATTCTATTACTAAACAGTTCATAAAAAATAATCATTAGCTGAAAAAGAAATTAGATAAAGCTGCCATCTATATGATTCCCCTTATTCAATCATGCAGAGAACAATCTGTTGAGCCAACAGTAAATCAATCACCTCTCTCATAATACCAGAACTGTTCTCCCAGTGAAAGCTTGTAAAGTACATACAAAGTAAAAGTTCCGGTAAATTAAAATTTACAGAACAAATTGAGAGGATTTTTTTATATGTGATTATACTTCATTAAAAAAAAAGATGGCATGATTCATTTTATCCATTATAGGCAAGGCCTGTCTGTATTTGAAGTTAATATTTTCTACTCAGAATTTATTAAAAGCACTCTAGAGAGGTAATAACATTTCTATATGAAGCAAACTTCTATGTACAATGACAAATCTTTAGCTATGGACATATTGAGTTCATATATTCACAAATCAGTCTCATTAGCAAATAGATACTACCACAAAAATAACCACTTTTACACTTGGACAACAATTTTTTTAAAAAAGACATTTTGGATAAAAATCCAGCTTAAAAATAGCGAGAATCTGAAAATAAATACTTACTTTAGGACCATTTGAAAAGAACTGTAGTTAAAAGTATATCCACCAATCACCCACATAAATTTCCCATGTAAAACTGCTTTATGTGAAGCCCGACCTACAGAAGGACTGAAGGGTTTAACATTTGGCAGAATCCAGTAAGACTCAGTAGAGGGAACATTCAAAGAACAATCAGGACCTATTAAAAAAAAAATCAAACAACACACTAGATTAAACAAAGCCCTCAGATTATAGAAATACAATATATGGATTAAGAGAATTTAAGAATTCAATGTTTATCATATTAACAAATATAACATATATATAATAAATTATCTGAAATATAATGTACAAGAGTAATACAGCAAATGTAATGCTTGGAGGCAAAAAAAGTCATATACTCACAATCGAACTTGGATGTTCAAATAAATTTCCCAATTTTAAAGAATTATTTAAATAATATAAAATGTCAGATTTACTTTAGCATACTACAAGAGTATTAAAATAGAAAACAGTGTACTCAAATATCAGTTCTGTCAGGCAAGTATGTTTACCTCTTTCATCATCAAGCCTCCATCTACAGAAATGGATATGATAATCTACTACCAAGGGTTATAATAAATATTTATTTTTTTAAAATAGTGGAAGTAAAAGCATTTAAAAATTAAAGTTTAAAAATTATTAACTATTAAACAAATATAAAAACTATTAAATTTTTCTTAGCATTATTTTTAAGAACAGCCAAAGTCTGCTTCAGTAGAGAGTCCTCAAAAAGAAAAAAATATTATCCATCATAAAATAAAAATTATGCATGAGATAAAAATTATTAAATCAGTGCAGAATAATTTCAAATCCTATGAAATTGAAAACACAGCCTTTTTCCTATCCATATTCATGATGTTACTTATAAGTCTTGGTTTCCTCATCAGTGTTTCTCAAACATAATAGAAGGAATCCTCCTAAAAGGAATTTATTTTCTTTCTTTCTTTCTTTTTTTTTTTTTTTTTTAGATGGAGTCTGGCTCTGTCGCCCAGGCTGGAGTGCAGTGGCGCGATCTCGGCTCACTGCAAGCTCCGCCTACCAGGTTCAGGCCATTCTCCTGCCTCAGCCTCGTGAGTAGCTGGGACTACAGCCACCCGCCACCGCGCCCGGCTAATTTTTTGTATTTTTAGTAGAGACGGGGTTTCACCGTGGTCTCGATCTCCTGACCTTGTGATCCGCCCGCCTCGGCCTCCCAAAGTGCTGGGATTACAGGCGTAAGCCACCGCGCTCGGCTTGCTAAAGGAATATATTTTCATCAAACTTTAGGGCTCACAAATTATTTTAATCGTGATGAAACTAAAAAATTCTCAAATACTAGACATAAACTCCTATGGTTATATTTCTTTTACAAGCACAAAACCAACATACATTTATAAATTATATATAAGCAAATTTATAAAACTAATATTTACTGAATATGATAAATGATACTGTTTTGCTTAAAGTAAATAATGGGTCCCAAGTTAAAAATGATACTAATTCTCACAGCGCCTTTTTAATATAATTTTAGCATACCTATGTTATTTTGACAACATAACTCTCCCACCATTTTTCTTCAACCCACTTTTTACAAATCTTTTAAATTCATATACTATGGCATATAATCATTTACTCTTCACTTGTCACAAAAGTATTAGTACACTTCAGTTGTATTGTTTTTAGCCTACAATAATTAAAGTGATACTTAATCCCAACTTTAAATTATCAACACAACTGCTGGCATTACAATACAGTGGCACTACTCAATTATGAGATCAGACAGTGAATCTTCAATTTGCTTATATCAAAAGTTTTAGATTATCATTTAGTAACAAAATTTTAAAACTCCCAAGCAGAGTCTGATTTAAGAAATATTGGCCCATAAAGTTTTCATTTCTTCATTTGTTCACTCACCCAGGTATTAGTTGATTCATCTTCAAGATTTTTTCAATGCTTACATTGTATGGATCTGTATTTTTCAGGTACAAACTAGGAAGTATCTCAGATTATGTCTTTGATAATGATAATATTTTAAATCAGCTATAGAAAACTATTATTTCTGAGTGAGAAAAGACTGTGAACTATTCCTTAGTAATTAGAAATATTAAAGGAACTTCTTTTTTAATTTAACTACTGTAACTTAGAAATCATTTAATGGTTTTATTAAAACACAGCCATGGTCATTCAGTTAAGTATTGTCTATGGCTGCTTTAGCAGAGCTGAGTGGCTGCAACAGAGCCATGTAACTTGCAAAGTAAAAAATATTTACTACCTGGCCTTTTACAGAAAATTTTGCCAATCTATAACTGAAAAGACATGAAATCATATAGAAATTATATATAATGCATCTATTGGTATAAATTTTGTATCTATTTTCATAAAAGGAAATATAGATTTTAACATGTAAGTCACACAAAGCAAATAGAGTAAAATGTTAATAGGTGAATCCGGGAAAGGGCATTCAGATAGTCTGTACTATTCTTATTCTTGTATAATAAGTTTTCTAAAACTTTAAAATTATTTCTACATAAAACATTAAAAACAGGCCACCAACCAAAGGCACAGAGTTGAAAGCAGTCAAGTAATATACGGGTATTACTTGGAAAAGAGTTTGATAGAGAACGATGGCATGAAAAAATCTTGAAAATTGGGTATATTTTTAAATCACCAATATATTTATCAAACCTGCATTAAAGCAAAATACTGCAGAGCAAGTTTCCAGTAGGCTGAATAAAGGTATCCAGGTCTTAATCACCTGAAGCTTTGGATTTTACCTTATATGGCAAAAGGAATTTTGCAGATGTATTAAATTAAGGATTTTGAAAGTTGGGAGAGATTATCATGGATTATCTAAATTGGCTCTAAATATAATTACAGGCGTCCTCATAAGACAGGGAGATTTGACTGCAGAAGGAAGCAATGTGACTATCAAAGCAAGATGTTGTGCTCCTGGATTTGAAGATAGAGGAAGAGGCAAGGAGACAAAGAATGCAGGGAATGCAGTTCCAGGAGCTGGAAAAAAAATCAAAGACACAGATAATCTCCTTTACCTTCCAAAGGAGGTACAACTCTGCTAAGACCTTTATTTTGGCCCAGTGAAACTGATTTCCGATTTGTGACCTCCAGAATGGTAAGGGATTAACAAATGTATTTTGTTTTAAGATACCAAATTTGTGATAATTTGTTACAGCATCTGTAAAATACTAACACTAATAATTAAATTTATTTAATTTAACAAAATATTGCTATTTAATACAGAAAATAAGCTTCTAATGATTTCAATTCTGTACTCTAAAATACTTAATTTTCCACACAAAAAAAGAAAATAATCAAAATTCTTCCTATCTTTGTTACTAGTAAATTTTATGTAACTTGTGGAAACTACTAGAAGAAATGGTCTGTAGCCCAATCTACATGTTGTCGTTATTTTACTCTAAATTAATCCGTTTATAAATAGAATGACAAGATTTATAAATATAACTCAAACATTTTTAAAAATTAAATGTCTTAATTTGAAGCTTTCTGTATTCTATAACCAAAATGACTTAAAATGTAAATTAATAAACTGAATATTAATTTAAAACACAAACAACTACACGAAGACTTCCTCAGCCATTAAATATCTAACACTAATATCTACACTTAAGGCCATCTAAGCAAGACTCCTCTTCTTTTAATTTTATTTCTGCTACTGAACAATTATACACATTTATGGTCTACATGTGATATTTTGATACACGTTATACAATGTGTAATGACCAAAACAAGGTAATTAGGATATCTATTGCCTCAAACACACTTGTGCTGTAAACATTCCAAATATTCTAGCTATGAAATATATAATAAATTATTAACTATAGTCACCCTACTGTGTTATTGAACACTAGAACGTATTCCCTCTGTCTGACTATATTTTTGTACCCATTAACCAACCTCTTGTCATCCCTCTCTCCCCGAAACCTTTCCTAGCCTCTGGTAACCATCATTCTACTCTATCTCCGTGACATCAACTTTTTTAGCTCCCACACATGAACGAGAACATGCCATGTGTGCAAGACTCTTTTTTTATAAAAATATATCCATGAAAAATCTTCTACCACTTCATACTTTAGTATCTCATGCAACATCTCCCCATAACTCTCTTTGCATTACTTTTCTCAATCAATATGGCAACTTCTCAAGGTAGTATATCTCAGCTGTTTTTTAAAGGGTGTAATAAATTCACCTTATAGTCCCTTTTCATAAAGAATCTTCTCCACAGGTTATGTATAGTTTTAAAAAACCAAAGAGGATAAATGAATTTCTAACACTATAACTTTAAGCGTTAGTGTCGGGCTGCTGAGAGATTTTTGAAGGGAAAAAGCTACTACATAATCAGAGTAGAATTGTACTCTGATATATCGCAAATGTATATGTCCAGCCCCACGATCTCTCATGAATTCAAACTACTACTTGCCATTTCCACTTGGATATCCATAGAGGGTCATCTCAAACTTTACATATGTAAAACTAAAACCTTGATCGTTTCCTCCCAAACCGATTCCTTCACCAGTGTTTGCCATTTGAGTAAACGGCACTTCCATTCATCCAGCTGCTCAGGGCAAAAACTTTGGTGCCGTTCTTAAGTTGCCTCTTTCTCCAATACCCCATACAAGCAACCCACAAACAGACTGAATATTAAGTAGGTATGCAGGGATTACAGTCTTTCCACATGTTAAAGTATAAATGTTTCAATGATTGTTGGTAAGTAGATGTACCTCAGCAACCCAAGTATCAGCCTTGCTGTCCTAGTTCCCCTGACTCCTCACTTGAGATAATTCAGACCTCCCTACAATAGATAACTAGAGGGGTAATGTTGGCACAACATGGCTCATCAAGATCTTACTCTAGTCCAATGGCCACAATCCATTTTGATTGATGTCTGGTCTGTACCTTACTAATTATAAGCATTTTTAAATTCTAGCACCCCACCATACCCCAACCACTGATCCCTTTCTCTACAACTACCATTTCAGTCCAAGCCACCATCCACTCTCACCTGGACTACTGCAATAGTCTACAAACTGGTCTTCTTATTTCCATTCTTATCCCTTTCCTATAACATTCAACTATCCAGAATACAACCAGAATGATTAAAAACATAATTCTACTCCTATCATTACCCTACTAATAATCCTT